CACTCCCTTCTCTCCCCCCCCGCCCCCCGCCTCATCCCCTTCCTTTGCCCCAGGTCACAATCCACTACTTCACCCAAACTCCTTCGCAGATCCCACAGCCCAAGCCCTTACGCTAAGCTCCCTTCTGCACCTCCTTCATTAATATAATGGCAGCCCTAGGCCACTTAAATTGTTTGAGTGGCCCTCCCATCAAAAATTATTGCCCACCCCTATGCTAATGGCGTAAGGTAAGAAAGAAAGATTCTTTTAATAGAATTTTTTTGAGTGTTGCAAATATCTAAAAAAAGCTCTGAATGATTTTTTTAAATCCTGTGTTACTCATTAATACATGGTAAACTGTATTGCATTAAGGCCAGATCTTTGCTATCTGGTAGAGTTCTGGCTCTTCTGAGTCAGAAGCAGCAAGCACTAGGTGTGATGCTAACTGTTTTGTAGGATGAAACCTTATTTGCAAGATCTTTGAAACGTGCATCTGTTTGTTAGAAAGGATAGGGATACATGTACTCCAAAGTCTCAGAGGAATAGCCATGTTAGTCTAACTAAAAAACACACACACAGAAAATGGTCCTGTCGCACTTTATATAAATAGTATCATGAGCTTTCATGGGCACAAACCTCTTCTTCTGCCAAGGGTAGTATTAACTTTCTTTCTATCTGATTTCATATTACATAATCATAATCATTGTTTCTTGTTAATTATCACTTGCTTTAATATATTCTTTCACACCTATGAACTATTTAAAATACATATTTATATCTATAGTTTTTGTTTGTACTGATGGGTGTACATCCACACCCCACCTCAATACTGGTGGGGCACGAGAAATTTCAACCCACCCATGGATGGAAAATCTTAGAGGGAACACTGGTTGTGAATATCCTATAATTTAAACTACATATTTTAAAAGTACACTGGACAAAGTATCTGGAAGTGTACAATATGAACCAATATTACTGGTTCCACAGAGACTGATTCTTTTCCACCATGAAGTCTGAGGATATCTACAGTATATAATGATTTCTCTGCAGATAAACCACATGGCTTCAGCTTTTGTCTTAGTCCAACATCACAAGCAAAGTTACATACACAAATATCATATTTACCTGTAAGAGAAAGCAGAGTCTTGGGGCTGTGCTACTTGACTTGCAGAATCTGGAAGGTCATCTGCTGACATATTCTGCAGGGCTTCATCACGTGGAGAGTCATGTATGCTTTCGCCATCTCCAATTACGTCTGAGCAAACATTCCAACAGAAAATTCACAAAAAGGAACTAGACTGCCTAGCAATAAATTGTTCATTTGCTTTCTTTCATTTTTAATTTCCAAGAAGAATTTTTAAGTTATATGGAAAAGAAACCTAGATCACTCCATCCATCTGAAGAGGACAGAATGTCAAGAGTAAATAAAAAAAATCAAAATATGTAACAGTTTGCTTTTAAAAGGAACTGTAGAATTCCATTTTAGTGATCAATGGTCTTTCATTTTTTACAAGAACTGGAAAACAAATTGTTAATATGACATGCATAAGCTATCACCACCAAGAATTTCCCATGGATTCAACCAAGAGTTCTCTTTTGGCTCCCATTGTCAGCATGGATGCAATTAATGTTGTGGCTATAGCACTGCAGACATTTTTACCTGAGCTTTCATAATTTACTATAGCTCCTTCACTTGGGCTGGTTCGCTTAATAGCATTCCTATATTTGTCCAGGATATCTTCGGCAGCCTGTGCCTGTGCACTTAGTCTGGGACTGGGATCATCTGCACAATGAGGAAAACAGAACAGGGAATAGCTCCACGTGGTGCTTGAGTTCAATGCAAAGTACAAACAACACTACATAACAAGTTTAAGACCCAGTAAGTCTTCTGGGCAGGTATGGACTAATCACAATAACCTCCTCAGTTAGGAAGCTAATTTCGAGCATTAAAACGTTCTCATTCCAAGTACATACATTTCTGTAAAAAGGAATGTTTCTGCTATTCCAGAATTTGGGGTGCATACTTTTAGTAAAGGATTTGCGAGGGCAAAATCATTTACAAACCTTGAAGTGCTGAGAACCTGTCTGGCAGCAAGTCATCTTTGTCTTTTTCTTGCTTTTCTTTTTTTCTAAATGGTATAGGAGCTGAAAATTACAGAAAATCTGCATAAGACACACCATACATGGAGACAACACAGCATGAAATCACAAACCACATTTAGAAATTGTAAGAAACTGTAAGATTAACATCAAGTAAAGGCTCCCTGAAGGGCATTTGTGTAAGAAACTGCACAGGTAATGCCTGAAGCTTCTCAGTAATACAAGTTCTCTTTTAAACAAAAAAGACAATGACATCCAAGCCTACTTGTTGGGTCAACAGGTTGTCTATTGTGATCATATTACTAATTATGCCCTTAGCAGCTACTGAGCTAAGCAGACAATCAGCACTCCCCAAAAGCCTTGAAGCATAGTGCCTTCTGAGTTCAGTATTTTTCATCTATAGATTAGGACATGAAACTGGCTAATTTCACAAATTTACTCTAGTCCTATATCCACACAGGTCCAGAGTCAAGCACTACTGTCAACTGTTTCTAGGAAATGCTTCTAATTAGTGGTTCCTGATAAAAGCCGCTATCCACTGTGCAGTATTAAAATATGTAGAAAAACAAAAAGCCAGTTAAATACTTTTATACAAGTCCAATTCATCTAAGAAGAAATCCCTCTCTGCAAAATGGGAACAATGTGGTTCTATTTTCACATGGGTGTTGTGAGGTTTATCATTTAGATACAATTGTATGTATGCAAAGTTTTAAATACCAACGATCAATTTTTAGACTGAACATGTACGTGCACTTAATATCTTTTACTTCTAAAACAGCACCAATAACCATAAATTCAAAAGCTCTTTCATGAACTACTGGACAGATTTGATCCTTTACAAGATCTGACTCTGCACTACCTGATTTTGTTAAGTAAATGTAGCAAACCAATTTTGGATTAAAACAACATAGAAAGGCAGATAATATTGCGAGAATGGACTGATTGCCACTGACTTCACGCAGTCAGCCTTTCAGACTGACCATTTAATATATGATATCACAGTAACTGGGGATTTAATCACAAAACATTTTCTATCAGGGCAGAATTATTGAAAACGACATGCAGCATTTCTGAAGGTGCCAAGAACATGTAAACGTGAGACTTCATTACCTTTGGGCATAGCAGAAACGAAACGCTTCCTCCACCAGGGTCTGTTTCTGTCAGATTTCTCATCATCACTATCTTTTCGTTCCTCCATCTATAGGGAAAGTCAGCTTATTATATTTCAGTGTGCTGAAATCTTTACTTGACTTTGTAAAATGGACGACGGAAAAATATTTTCTTGATTAGCAAAGCAGCATATAACACAGTAAAATAACTGAAAGTTTAAGTCCTCCTAGGGAGGGCTGTTTGCAAATGCAACTGTTTTTTCTGAACTAAAAGTTGTTCTACAACAGTCCCAGAAAAATCTCTCTCTCAAACGTTTGTCTTCAGTATGTTGAAACACTTTACTTCACAGATCCTACAGCTAAAGCACGTCATGTAAATCAAACAAAGGGGACCCTATTTGGGCCACTCACATTTTAAGCTTTGATGTTTTAAAAATCATACTACAGGTCACCTTTCAGAAGGTGCTAGAACAGCACGATTCTCCCCAGTTCACGTATTTCCGCGGCGCACATTTTTACTCAGAAATGACATGTGAGAAAGAGAACCAAGATGTAGCAGCATTTCAGCTTCACAATGGATGTCTTACCTCTCCTCTAGAGGAGTCTTTACTGGGGGATGAGGATGAGGATTGAGGCGCAGCCCCTGAAGCAGCTACTCCAATGTTGGGTATTTGTGAAGGAAGCTCCCTTTCTTCATTACCAGGCCGCCTGTTCCAGCCAGGGTCGCTCATAGGTCTCCGAACTGATGACACTATGTCAGAGCTTCTGCTGCGGACCAGTCTTTCTGGGTAGGAATGCCTTTGTTTGAATGCCTCCAAGTCAGCTGGGATTAAGATGTGGGAGCCAAAATTTGGGTATCTGGCCTCATTATTTCCCATAGCTCCTTCTAGAATTGGGGGATCTGGTGGTGGATGAGCAGGTCTTGCATAGTGCACTTTAGGCCTAACCACTGCTGATGCACCTGGAGCCATGAAACATTACATCAGTGAACCAAACATTAGTATTGTACTGTGGTGGTTATGCATGTACATAAGTTTCTCAAATAAACAAGGCTTTTTCCACCCAGTTAGATGGATAGCAGTGATTGATGTATTTATCTTAAAAACAAGAATGGCTCATTCTTTACAATTTACCTTCGTGTGATGACAAAGGGTCAAACAATGCAAGCAAAGAGTCCGATTGAGAAGGGGGAGAAGTCAAGTGACTGGCTCCTGAAACACAGAAAGTGGATCTGCATGAACCATTCACTGCTTCTTAGCTAAAGTGGGGCACAATTCGTAAGCTCTGGGAATGCTTTTGTAACAGGCAGCATTTAGTAAACGCTTAACACTTCAAAATGCACTGAAAAGAAGGCACCTGAAAGCACTCGCAGGACTGAACAGTCAAATTGTTATAAAAACCATAAAAACACAAACCAAACCAAATCCCACAGAACACAGGGAGAGGAGCAAGTCTCAAATCCAAAGAGCAGTCAAACTAACTTGGTAAAATTACATAGAATAAAGACTCACATCTGAGACTCAGCAGTAAACCACCACCTCCTCTTTCTAGTTAGAAGCATAAACACTTCCGATAAACAAATATGGAGAAAATGTTTGTAAATGGCTTCTCAAAAACCAGAATCCACATTTTCTAAATCGAAGTGAAGTTTTCTTTTATGCCATGTTTACCCCACTTTTTCTTGCTGGGATGTATAGTGTAACAAGATTTTACAGTCACAAATTCAACAATTCCTGATGCGCTCACTTAAGACATGGTTTAATTTTTCACTTACTATCCAAGGGCTTTACTTACCATGAGCTGTTTCATCCATATCAGGACTTGTCACAGAATCTTTACCTCCAAAGTCAGAGCTACATTCAGACCTAAGGTCCTCGATCTTATTAGGAATATCCTCAGAGGTTGCACTAATGCCTGACAAATGACAAAAGTGTCTGTAAGGGTCTTTGAGACAAAAAGGAGGCAGAAAGAAAAAACAAACTTTTGCACAGCTGTAATAAGTTTTTGCTGCCAACTCCCAAACACTGATTTCAAGAGAAATGAGAGCTTGACATTCTAGGAGAAGAGCCTTGACTTTAGAATTCTGCACTGCTATAAGGTCTTGTAATGTTCGGGTTCCATCTTTGTATGCCACTGTTTAATATAGACAATATAAAGGACTGTAAGATTTGCAAATCATTTTCACAAATCTATGACAGAAGCAAGTAAGATAAAGAGAAAGTACAGAAGTGTGTTACACTAGATAGAATGAAGATAAGATGAAGGCAGGTGTCCATAGTGAGATACAAGGAAATTTGAGGCAATTTCTTAGATTCAACACCTTACTGCAAGTCTCTGCTTCTGTACAACAGATTCTCCAGATTCCACTGTTTTTGGCACGATGAAGAGCATGATGGGAATCAGAGTATGAGCACCAGACAAAAAATACCTTTGTATGGGGGAGCATAAATTTGATGAAACTGAGCACATGGCAAAACAAACTCGTTATCATCTAAGAAAGCAAAACTTGTTCCTGAAAATAAAGACACACCTGACACAACGCTGAGGCCTGGTGTACTGGGACGAGAACTGACCTCCCTCACATCTGTGTCATCAGAGGTGCTGCCCAGCCCGGAACAGCTTTCCAGCTCTTGTAGTCTTTCCTCCTGCTTTAGATCTGGGGCCTCTAAATGAGAAATGGTGCATTACTGCCCAGTGTTATTGTCATGTACAATTCACAGACAAAAAGATGGTGTGGGGATTTAGATTTTAATGTAAAGAGTCTAGTTAACTTTGTCACATACTCTGAAATGAGACATTTCAGCCCATTCTACTTTGATGTACTGCAGGCAGGGCAACGCCGATAGTACTTTATCTCTATAGCAGCATTTTAATACACATATTTTTACTCTAAGAAAAAAAAACCCTTGAATTAAGCTTCATAGTCAGAGACAATGGAACAATATAGTAAATGCTCATGAAAACATTGAAACTATAAAAACTCTGCCTAGAAAGATTGCCATAGACTGAACAGTGATCCGTTTACCCTTCATTTTTCTAAAACATTGCCAACAGCCACCAAGCCATGTTAGATTTGCTCTTGCATTAGAATCTAGTCCTCTAACTTATGTCCTCTATCCAGCATGGCAAGGTTAACAGCATCACAAAACTAAGCCCTTTCTGCTTATTAGAAATCCTTGTGCACTGAACCAAACTCACCCAAAAGAATTACAAACAAGACACATACCACAGCACATCTACTATCTTCCTAGTCATTGCTCACCATTCCCCCTTACCCCAAGCTACCATCCACAGAGAATAGCTACAAACTGGCTTATTGTGCAGCATAAGTGCTCTACTGGGTATCTTTATTTGCAATGCGGCAATTTTAAAGACTTCCATAATTTTTTAAATTTTATTTTGGAATAAGCAGCAGCCATCTTAGTTTGAGAAAGGACAACTATGATTATTACCTTCCCTTTGACATAGCTTGTGTTGTCTTTGGGCAGGTAATATTCCCTCTCAAAGTGATGGAGCCAAGTGATGCCCTTATCCAAAAATATTTATAAAACAACACTGTTCATATCAAAGATCAAACTAAAGAGCAATTGTGGGATTCTGACCTGAATCACTGGGCAATACCTCTACACTCCAAGCTTCACTGGTGGTTTCTGATATAGTTGACCCTGTGCAGGGATCAAGCAGCACAGATCCTGAACCTGGCAAACACAGCAAGCTGCCAAGCATGTTCTCTGCAGCTGCACCTGCACAACCAAGATGAGAGGATTCTAGTAAGAGACACCATAAACTGGATGCCAGTTGTGATTACAGAAGACACACAACATCTACTGAAAAGGAACAGAAGAAAGCACTCATAAGAAAGGTAGGATAGAGGTCTACAGTTTTCCTACAAAGAAGCTTGGATTTAACACCACTTATTTCATAAACAGAGAGAATGAGAGCTCCAAAAGCGCTTAACGTAGTTCTTTCTTGCCAGATGTAATGTCAGTTACCTGCAATTTCTTGCAAACGGTCTTCATCAATATTTGGATCAAAGTCACTGCCCAAGACATCTGTGCTCCAGGTCTCGCTAACAGTTTCTGATATGTCCCTATCATCAGTCAATCCCATCATATCACGGATTTCAAATTTACGGAGCTTGTCATCAAGATTATCCTGAGTCGTGGCTAGATAAAAATAAAAGGTGTTAAAAAAATTCTTCAACATGCTACAGGTTAGCATGCAACATGCTAACTAATTCTGTTAAGTAAAACAAAGTTTTAACTAACAAAGATCTGTACAGCACTTTAATACTAATCACAATTTTTGTATGTTCAAATATATACAAAACAATAACACTCTTTATTCGTATTTGAGAAACAGACACTGACTTCTGTGAGAAGGTTTAAAAAGGGTATATATCTGCCAAACACCAGAGATCTATTGTAACTGTTTGCAACTACGAAAGACAGACATGAAGGATTGAGTGAGCATGATGAAAACTGACTGAAAGTGGGATTCGTTTGTGGAAGGAAAGAGACTGAATTCCTATCAGTTGGAACACTTTGCCCTTTCCAGTTAAAGTGCTAGTAACTACAAAACTATCTACAGTCCAACATTTCCAATTGCTACAATTCAAATTATCCTTTTCCCTCTTGAAAAGGAAGGAATCATAAAGCAATTTTAAAATATTTATTATGACGACTGAGATTTCAAAATAAAATGTAAGTTCACTGCTCTAAGAACGATGTTAACACTATTTTAGTGGACAACAATAACTTGCATTTATTTTTTCATTAGCAAGTGAGAGATATTCAAAAAAGTCTGAAAATAATCCAATGATATAGAAAGTCTCTTTACTCGTCTGACACATCCAATCTGGAGATTAAAAATAGACAGATTGAGAGGAATTGTATCAGCCTACAATAATCTCTTCACTTTCAGCTGTGTCTGTATCTACCTTGTTCATGTTCCAATAGCTGCAAGGCTTCAACACCATTGCTCCCAGAAGGCCCTGCGCCAAGCTCTGACACAGACTCTCCTTCTAAATCCAAAGAGGACACAGAATTGGAGCGATTTGAAGGACCTAGTGAAAATTGATTTTTCTGTTAGAGTTGTTCAAACTTGAAGACTAAACAATACAAGATGCAATTTACTAGCAAGACTGGAAGAAAAAACCAACCAACCAACCAAAGACACCCAAGCTGTCATTTTCAAGTTAGCCACTTGTGAAATACTGAACTTAGGGACTTCTAAGGTGCCACACAACACTAACCAATCTTCAGATATCTTGCAACAAATAGTTAGCACATCAATATTAGTGTACTTTTAACCAAAATTGAAACAGTCTTTTGTAATCATTGTTTTTTCTCTAATATTTGGATTTTATTTATTCTGAAAAACAAGGAGAGAGAAAAAAAAACCAATCATGGAAAGTTAAGTAAACCTAACAAGGTATTACCTGGGACATTTGAATGGCTCATAGAAGCCTATTCAATACCCCAGGGAAGCCTTTTGATGTGTGTGATACTCATATAAAAGAGCTCTTAAGAGCTTAGAAGGCATTTTACATATTGAAAAAAAAAAAATCGATAAATAAGATTAAAAAGTCAGTCTGGGAACTACAAATTTAAACTGCATTCATGCCAATAATATGTACCAAGTTGAAAATCCTTTTGTTCTTTTTCAATTACAATTAATTTGACTCATCGCTCCAAGTCCAAAATTATCTTCGGCAACCTGTATGTCAAAGTTAGAGCCAAGGATGATTTTTTTATGGCCAGACATGACGGTAGGATTTGGGGGGAGGGAGGGAAATGACACTTTTATAACAAAAGCTTCTTCTAGAATTAAAACCTGACAACTTTTTGAATACTGAAGTAACCCTTCACCTTCAGATATTCCTTCCAGATTATCACTGCAGAGGGAAAAGCGCAAGGTTTTATCAGGTTTACCATGGAGTTTGGTTTCATCAACAGGGACATCGCCTTGTCCTCCATCGGCAAGCTGCATATTTAAGACCTATGGGGAGAGTGAATAAACATGTTTAATTAACTCAAAAATTAAATTTTATTTACAGTGACTTCTAGCAGCTGAAGCCAGATTTTTTTTTAACTTTTCTAGACCTGCAATGGCAGTGTCAATATCTAACAGCTCACATTTGAGGAAAGATCAGCTGTATCAAGACCGATCAGCAGTAGTGAGATTTTAAAATAGCCAAGATGTAAACGTTCAGTACGTCATGAAAATGGAACCTCAACTGATTTTTTACTTTCATGGCACCTTAATATCACATAGCAATCAATAATTACAGCACTCCAAGAGGAGGGAATTTGAATTATTGGGCAAGACACTAATAGACTTCAAAGTATGTTGCTCTCTTATTCAAAGAGCACGTTGTGCCAACAGCTGCCCATGAATAATGTAATACTTGGATTTTCAGCCTTTACAAGCTCTGATGAGGCAGTTCAAGTTTGCTCCCAAGCAACGTAACATGAAGTAACATCTCCACAAGCTTTGCATAATTAACACTTCATTATTTATTATGCTGCAGTTGTTAAGTCTGTTTAATCACTTTCATTCTAAATACTTTGTTTCGGGAGTTTATAACTTGGACATACACAGTAACTTTAGTCTATACAATTTTCTAGAGGATTAGCATAAAACTTAATATGCTTGTAAAGCACAGAACCAGTTCCTTTGGAGCCACTGAAATCTCTTCAATCTATGAATCAGAAGGGTTTACCCTACTAAGAACAAAGACATCTCTCTGCATAGAATGGCAAGGCAGGGAAGGATTAATGAAGGTGGGGTTTATCTGCTTTCAAAATCCAGTTGCAGACATCACGTTTACTTGGCAGCAGAGAAACTCTAAAGCCATATAAAATACAATACTTATTTTACACTGTTCTCCTTGACTTCTTCAGAGTTATTAAAACTGCCCACATGTCAACTTGCGTGCGTTCACACACGCTATCAGGGAGGGAAGACGGATAAATACTCTGTTCATTTACTATTTAGGTACTTAAAGTGACCACACAACCTTCTCTCAGATCCCTTCTGGCCCACAACAGCACAACGGCAAAAGATTCAGGAAGTGAACCACTGGCTAGATAAGTGGTGGAAGGTTTTGGATTTGTGAAATACTGGTCTCATTTCTCTTGGGAGAGGGGTTCATATGGCATGAATGGCCTCCATCTCAGTAAAAAGGAAACCCATCTCCTTGGGGATAGTGGCTAGAGTAATCAGGAGGGTGTTTAACTGCAAAAAGGACGAGTAAAAAGAGTGAAGCACTCATAAAAAAAAAAAATCAAGATGTTGAGAACAAAATTAACCAAGGAACCAGGAAACACAATGAAACAAAATTTCTGTTCGATAAATATTTCTATTTTTCACCAAATACAGAACAACTGTTATATTCCCATCACATGGTGATGATTGCTCTCTTTCCATAGCTCTTGTCTCTGCAGGCCATTAAACAGAAGCTACTAAAAGTAGACATTTTTATATCAGCAGGTCCAGATAATTCTTTGATGGAAAAGTTTTTAAAAAGCTGGCTGAGGATCTGGATGGACTGCTAATGAGAAGTTTCAATGTGTCCTATAACTTCCCTAGCCCTCTGAAAGACTGGGGGAGAGGTAATATTATGCCAGTTTTAAAAAAGAGTAAATAGGATGACCGTGAGATTTTCAGGCCTACCGGCCTGCCAGATCCCAGGCAAGATAACTGAATGGCTGATACGGAACTCAACTGAAAATTAAAGGAAGGCAAAATTAAATACAAGTCAACATGGATTCATTGAAAACAGATCCTTTCATTCTTTTGATGAATTTACATGTCTAGTTGATAAAAGTATATATCAGTACTACTGCTTTGACTTGGCACCAAACAATATTTTGATAAAAAAGGACAGTCTACGGCACACATTAAATGGACAAAAACTGGCTAACCTGACGGATCTCAAAATGTAACTGAACTGGAAATTTTCATTGAGAGTCTATTTCCTGTGGGATCCTGTAGGGATCAGGTCTTGGCCCTATGCTATTTAATGTATTTTCAATTATCTGGAAGAAAACAAAGCCATCACTGATAAAATTTGCTGATGGCACAAAAATTGGAGTGGTAAATAGTGAATACAGGTACTGATTCAGATTAATATCCATTTTAAAACAGCTAGATGTAAAATGTAATCTAGAAACAAAGGACTGAAGCCATACTTACAAAATGGGGAACTCTATACGGGGAAGCAGTGTCGGAAAAAAATTTGGGGGTCATGGTGGATAATTAGATGAATATGAGCTCCCAGTGGGGAAAAAGAGCTAACGCAATTAAGAAGAAGCTTGATTAGGAATACAGAGGTTATTTTACTTCTTATGTGGCACTGATGCAATTACTGCTGGAAAACTGTGTCCGACGCTGGTGCCCACAACTCAAGGATAGTGATAAATTGGAGAGGATTCACAGAAGAGCCATGAGAATGATTATAGGGTTAGAAATGTGCCTTATAGTAGCGGTTCTCTAACTATGGGTAGCAATCTCACTTATGGGGTTAGCTTACATTTGCTGGGGGCCCAGGGCTCAAGTCTGAGGGTTTCAGCTCTAGGTAGTGGGGCTCCGGTTACAGCAAAGGTGGGCAATAATTTTTTGCTGGGGGCCACTGCAGACATTCTTGAAGTGGCCCTGGGCCGCACCGGAAGAGGTGGGGCCTCAAGCAGAAGGGGCGGGGGATTCCCCCAAGGTGCCCATGCCCCTAGTGGTGGGAGGAGACTTCGCATGCTTCCCCTTTTCCCCCCCAGACCAATCAGGGTGCATGATGCTTCTAAGCACCCGAGTGCTCCTCGCAGGGTGGGGGCAGGGAGGAGGAAACTTCACACACTCCCCCCACCTCCTGGCCCTGATCGACTTGGGGACAGGGGAGCACACAAAGCCTTCTCCTGCCCTGCCAACAGCCGTGCACTCCAGGCAGGGCAGAGGAAACTTCATGCACTTCCCCCTTGATTGGCCTGGGGGCGGGGGAGGAGCAGGGCCTCCGCAGGCCAGATCAACCCCCTTGGCAGGCCGGATCCAGACCTTGAGCTTTTGCTCAACCCTGGGTTACGGGCTCCCGCCTCAGAATGAAGCTCTTAGGTTTTGGCTTTGATCCTCCCATCCAAGGCGGTGGGATTTGGGCTTGGGCTTTAGTCACCTTGACTCGGGCAATGGGACTAGGGCAGGCTCAAGATTTGTGTAGTAAATCAGGAGGAGTTCCCAGTAAGGCTTGAGACCCCTACCTTATAGTGATGGACTCAAAGGTTACGTCTACACAGCAGTGTTATTTTGGGATAACTGACATGATTTCCTAACAACATCGTCTGTGTCTACACTACAAGCAGTTATTTCAACAATGTCAAAATAACGTCAAGCTGGAGGACTTCTTACTCTAAGGGAAGTCAAAGGAAGAGTGGTCTGCCTTCGACTTCCTGCTGTGTAGACCGTAGCTATTTTGACTTAAGCTACATAATTGACACAGCTCAAGTTGCATAGCTTATTTCAGCTTTAGTCCTGCTCTGTAGACGTGCACAAAGAGAACACTCTATTAACATTAACACAGCCAAGGTTAAAAGGTTACTTGATTACCATCTCTAAATACCTACACGCACAATGTTTAGTAATGGCTCCTCAATCTAGCAGAGCCAAAGTATAACATGATCTGGTGGCTAGACACTGAATCTAGGTAAATTTAGACTGAAAATAAAGCATACATTTTTCACACTGACAGTAACTGACCACTGGAACACTTTAACCAAGGGGTATGGTACGTTCTCATCACTGGTAATTTTTAACGCACGATCAGATGTTATGATAAAAGATATGGTCTAGGAATTATTTTAAGCAAGTTCGATAGTTTGTGTTATACAGGAAGTAAGTTAAGTGGTCTCCTCTGAGCTCAGAATCTATGAATGTGAGGCTGTGGCACACCCACCTATTTACCCTGGATGCTGTATTAATCATTACAAACAGAAATCAGTTGTGGTTTGGTGAACATTTGCAACACCTAAACACAGCGAAACAAAAAAAGGGTTTTAGCCCTAATTCTGCAATTTAAATCTGGTCTTAGTTTGGCCCATCTCAATATTATTTCGTGGTCTGAATACACATTGTTCATTTCTCAACACATGTTATTTACATTTGACGCCTTGCTCATACCTCATTTTCTGACATCATACCAGGGGTGAGCTGTGGACCTGTTCCCAAAGAAATAACCAGTACTTCTTCTGGCTGAATTTCCTGTATCGAATCCTGGGAGGATCCTTCATGGTCTCCATGCTGGTCCATTTGAATATTTGATCTACTTCTGCTACGGGGAGCTAGTGACATGTTAAAAACAGAGTGTTATGAATGTTTTCAATATTTAAACTTTCAGATTATCTTCAAATGCTATTACAATACAGAAGTGTGATATTAGCGCATGCATATCAAAGAATGGACAAAATGCAGAGCACAATTTGCAGCTTTCTGGAAAGATGGAAACTGATACTGGAAATGTGCAAAACTGACACACAGCCTGTGTTGTTATTTAACTATTGCACTACTGTGAAAACATCAGACTTGGAGCACAGTGGCTTAAGATGTATCTAACACACCATGCTTCTTCATTTATCCACAGACATTCCTGCCACAGTTATTTACACGCATTCTTCCTTTGCAATAGAAACTCCCCTCTGATTCTGTACCATTGCCAAAAAAAGAGCACCACCAGAAAGGCACTTCAGTTCCTGTGTTTAAAATACTTTTTAAGCAGTTTGAGATTTCAACACACACACACATACACATACACACACACACATACACATACACATACACACACACACACACACACACACACACCCCACACACACCCCACAAAACAACTGTGCCAACCTCACAACCTAAAGCATCTTACACTGGTAAGAAATCCCCACAATATTAAATAGGAAAATGCTCATTGAAAAGCACCAGGAGTCCAAGACAAACAAATGAAGAACATCTGGAAAAGTAACATTTTGGATTTGGGTAATGAACCATTTATTGGTCCTGGCTGGCTTCAACAACTTAAAGACCCTGTTGTTGCTAACTAGAAGGGGGAAAAAAAAAATCAAGCTTCTTATGGCTTAGAGGTCTGTTCAGAAACAACGCAGAGGATGGATGGATGGGAGTGGGAGAAGGAGAGAAGACAGATGAAGTGGGGAGAGACAAAAAAATTTTGAACATGTAAGAACCAGTTCCCAATTTAAAATTCTTATCTCCAAGACCCCTTACCAGAATGAGAATCTCCCATAAGATGGTTTTAAATGTTTCTAAATGCTATGAACTAAGTCATAAAGTAACAGACTACAAATTATCTGCTACTATGTTTGTATAGTGCCTAAAGCCCAAATCCTGATTAAGAATTACAGGAGCACTACCTCAGTAAGTATGTAGGAACAGACATACTGGGTCAAACCTAAGGTCCTTCTAGCTCACTATTCTGTCTTCTGACAATGGCCAATGCCAGGTGCTTCTAAGGGAGTGAACAGAACAGATAACTCTCTAGTGATCCGTCCCCCATCCCAGCTTCTTGCAAACAGAGACTCGGGACATCATACAAACAAACAAACATTTTTTAAAAACACCTTATCCCTTCAGCAGTCATCAGCAAACTCCCTGGACTACACCCAAACATCAGTAATAGTTACTCAACATACATAAGCTGATGCCTCCCTGAATGCCTGCAAGAACAGGCAACTCAGACAATGCTGTTCAGAAAAGCTACCTTAAGTCTGGACCTAACCAATAAAACTTCCTAGCCAATGTACAGCTCCACACAGGAATTAAGGCCCCGCATCCTAGGAGTTACTGAGCACTTCCCAATGAAGTCAACAGAAGCTAGACACACACTGCACAACCAGATTCTAAAGCAGCGTTACTAACAGCTTTCAATGTTTTGTGGAGTAACTCTTGGGGTTTAAGACAATTTTGGACTGATATAAAAGGGGATTCAAGTGTACACTAGATGGAATGTATCAAACACTACCTGTTAGACATGCTCATTTATCATTGTGTGATGGCATAAATGAAAATGCCACTCAGCCTGACCGTGGGTGGTTCTCCCCTGTTCAAGGCAGGTACTGATAAGAGAAATAAGCCCTTCAGAACTCAAGTATGCAACATCTTGCACGGGAGAACCACTCTGAGAGCTGCAGGAAGTCACAAAACACTCACAGACTTGAAGATCTGATGTTACACCACCAGGAACTGATCAACACACTGCAAAGCAACATCACAAGACTATCCTGAGTATTTTGTGGTTCTCTGTAACTCCTTTTAACACAATCTTCTCTCTCTCTCTCCCCATTTTGGATACCTTGGAGAAAGAGTCAAGGACCTGAAGTTCCTTTTCTTTCCTATGGGATGGCAGCATGGCATCAGTTTCCTCTGTTGAAACATGGAAACTGAAACCAAATATGCAAATCTAAAAGTTAAATTTTTACCTTCAAATAACATGCATCAAAGGGAGACTGGGCTTTTTAGGTTACTACATTTTTTTGGCTATTTAAGTAGGAAGTGCCCTTTGCAACGGAACAAACAGAAGCCTGGCAGAAAGCAAATTAAAAAGAAGCATGTGAAGCATGATTTTATGAAGTAAATTCAAGTTTTACAAAGAGGAAAACCACCAAATGGGGTTACTAGATTTATGTGAGCTGTGAGATTGGTGGCAGAAGTATCCCAGGCAGTAATGGCTGCCAACTGTTGTCCTGGGTTTCGACAGCATTAAACAAAAATAAAATCAAGCCTTTGAACAACAAAAATATTTTAAACTGTAAAATAAATACAAACAAGAGATTACTTCACTAATGTAAGCCTAGAATAGAACAAACGTGCATAGAGAGGTAAAGATAACTCAGGATACCCAAGGTAACTGCTACCTTTAATTTATTATTTTAAATATAATATTTTGCACCCTAGGCTACAGATTAGATACAAAGCTCTTTTTCTCCTTTTTACTGAATATCAATATTCTAATCATATAATTAGACTCAGAGTGCAGTACTTCAGATCTACAGAAAAAAGTGCCACATTTTGAGATGGAATATTTTGAGCTGAAAAGGCATAAAAATCCTGAAATTCTAGGTTTCAGAATGCTCTACATTAAAATTGGTATACAGATTTAAGACAGCATAATTACAAGGCAGACTCCTCTCTTACACTGCTTACATTTTAGCATTATCATCAATGAATCCCCCAACCTCCATCCTGCCATTTTTCATATATTCGTTCCCAGATGTCTACACCTGACCTTCTTCCCTGCTCCACTCTGATCACTTGACTGATTGTCTCCACCCTCATCACCTTTATAGTGAGGATTTAAATCTACTTCCCCATGCCTTACTTCTTCCCAGATTCTCACCTTTTCCAGACTCTCCAGCATTTTCCTCACTAACAGCCTGCCACTTCTCTAAATATTGCAAAACCTACACACTGCTTTTTCCTCCTACTCTCCCCGCACCTTTAAACCCTCTCTGAATCAATGTTGACAACTGCACTATCTTCACCACCACTCGAACTCTGACTCTTTCCTTGCCTTCTCTCCTAGCTACTGGCCTGCACTATTTCACTAACATATGCTAATTAAAGTCTACGTTCCATGCAAACTAGAACTCTACAAATTCAATTACACAATACAAATACACTAAAATTTAATATGATATAAAAGGCAGAACTAAGAATAACAAGACGAATTTATAGAAAGGAAAAATTACACTATACATTGGAATGATTAGATCATCAAATATTCTTCTAAGGAAAGTGGGAGAAACATTGAGAAATTTTGAACTTGACCAGACAAAGCACTAGAAAAATATTATAAAAAAGTACAGTGCTGCTAGAGTGGTTACACCAGAAAGATGATCCAACAGATATTTTCATTACGAAAGTCTGTTTTAAAGACAGCTATTCTACCCACAAATACAAAGTGGAAGTGGAGTGAAGAAATCTTAAGTATATCCTACAAGAGGACTGAAGAAATGCTGAATACTCTGTACAGAGAGCAGGGAAGCCTATGAACAAAAAGCCTCTGATGTAAGATTTTTCTTCACAAGTTTCCTCACCTATAGGCAATCGATTTTTTTTGTTGGCTGGGGTAGTTGCAGGGGAGAGTTGTGGAGTACTGTAAGGAGTAATTTCAAGGCTGCCACTTTTTCCAGGTTTGTTCTGGGGTAAATTTGCCAACAGGTTTTCCAGAGCCATCCGATCTTCCTTCAACTGGTCACTCGACATTACATTTCGCATAAAACCAACCTAGGAAATTGGAGTTTGTACAATTAAGAAAATGAACATGAAGTTACATATTAAAAATCTCTACTGTAAATGCGTGCAGGAAAATATTACTCCTATTAAAGAACCAGAATATTACCAAATTAAGAAGTTGGCTGTATGTCATATAAACCACAGTCCTACTCAACCCTTCTAGAAGGTTAACTGAGGACATCGGAGGGGTTTCCACAGCACGCCCACTGATAACAACATCCAGGAAAGCAGCAACACAGTTCTGCAAGGAAAAGACAGGGTTGTTTTTGTTTTGTTTGTTTTAAGTGAATGGTTTCAAAATTTTAGAAACAAACATAAGGAACAAGAGGTCTACACAAAATGTACATGGGAATATCAGTTTTGCCACTTCTTACATAGATAGCAAACATCTTTTAGCCAATGAAAAGTAAAAAATTATGCAAATTTTAGAATCCCTTTCATTCCTTATTTGAATCTGAAAGTGTAATTTATCTAAATGCATTCTACACTCCTCGTTATTTCTCCTATCCCACGGCACTGGATAACTTATTACAAATTAGTGTAAGGAACTTATATTTAAATTGTTCCTTTCCCAGGACCCCGTTGAGCATAGTTTACAAGTAAAACAAAACTACAGGGGACAGGGATAGGTAAGTAAAGGAACTGTTAATTTAAAAGTCACACCTGACTCAACATTTATCTAGTTTCATTACAAGTAGCAAGAGAGACTGAAAGAAACAAGCAAAAAAGTTTATTTTATTAGTTTGCTTTCTGCGTTTGACAGCACATCATGTATAGTTAATTGCAGTCTCCTCTGTGGAGTCAGTTTCCCAACTGTGTATGCTTGCTTCACCCAGTAGGAAAGGAGAATAAGCAATTCACTAAAAGGTGGGGGACAGGAAATGAAGCAAAAATGGAAAGGGAGATCCATAAGCGGGTGTGATCTTTTTTAAATTGCCTACATTTCAAGTTAATGGTGTCCACTCAAAATAAAACTTATGCTCGATTCAAGAGAGAAAAATTATGAAAAGTCACTTAGTATCGGTTTTAGAAAATGCCATAGTTTAATATCTTGTTAGTGTTTTCATTTAAGCAGAAAATTTGTGTGTGTCTAGTAATCAGGAAGCATGACTCCATGTTTCTGGGTTCTATTACTAGGACCATGCAGATGTCACTCAACCTGTGCCTCAGTTTACCTATCCATAAATTAGATATACTACTAACATACCTCATAAGAGGGTTGTAAAGCTTATTTGTGTCGCAGAGCAGGTCCTTTTGACCATGGCCTCACACGCGCACATTGCCCATTCTGACACACAAAGGCCGCTCACAGAAAATGTAGGCCGCTGACACACTCTGAGAAAGCATAACTTGTAAGCGCACAATGCAGCTTTCAGTGAACGGAATTTAACCTTGTAGGCATCTAAGAACAGGGCGGTGAGCATGAAAAGATAGAGCACAGCTGCAAGAGACAGATAAGACTCTCTTGACTGGTCCTTGAAGGTAGGGCGGTAGGCATACGGAGATAAGACGCAACTGCCATGCACACTGACCATGTCCGCACCGAGCACTGTCCACGGGGCCATCAGGCAGGCATAGTGAAAAATCCTATAGGGCAATATTGCACATTACCTCATTACCAGCCTATTAGGCCTGGCCAGGGAACAGACCCTAATAAGGCACCGGATATCAGGTTATGTTATAAAAGATCCTCGACCCCTTTGTTCAGGGAGGTTCCGTGTATTGAGGTCACATGTCTTTTTGCCCAGCTGAAGGATTGATCACCCTGAGGCTGCCTCCCCATCCTTTGAGTCAAAGATAGGGGTGCGCGAGTTCTGAGAATGCTCCGAGTTCTAGTGTGTCTTTACACTGTTATCATTGCTGGATTTGTTAGTTATTGGTTTAGTTAATAGTTGAATCGTGTTAATTTCACTGTGTAATTTTGTAGAGTGTAACTGAATTCTATTAACCACACTGTGTAAATTGTATAATCTTGTGTTGTGTAGTGGTGTTGTATTTAGGCCAAGTATAACTGTTAGAAATAGAAACCCAGGAGTTGTTAAGTTGTAGAGGTAGATTAATGACTAACTCCACCAGCTGCCCTAAAATAACCATAGAGGGGCTGGCTGTGGACGGAGCTTTTATCATCATTATACTGGCTTTCTTTTTATATTTTTTGCTTGCCTGCTGCGCTGCCTTAAGTGAATTAGAAATAGTGATTTAATATAATCGAATTATAATCACAAAGTTTGGTTCAGTTTTTCCCTCCTGTAAAAGCACTAGGCAATTACTTGTTAAAAACTCATTTTAAAGTCATTTGGTTTTAATAAAAGAATCGTTGTGCTTAATAAAAAATCATTTGTTTCACTATCATCCAGTAATTTTCACTGGGTAGTCGGCTTTAACCCTGGGGGCTCCCATCACATCACCGAACCAAGGTGCGACAATTTGTTTGTGAAGTGCTTTGAAATTCAGATGAGAGGGGCTACAGAAAAGCAAAGTGTCAAATATTTACAAATGTATTATTTTTAGTCCTGACTCTTACTTTGTCAAATTTGCCAAGGTTGCTCTTCATGTGTGGATCTCCCTCTTCAGAACCTGTCATTGCCAACTGCTGCAAAAGTCTCCCGACCTAATATGGAAAAAGAACAGTTAAGGCAAATATTTCACAAACAATTATATAAACACCAAGACAGATCACAATTAGGGATGTAAACAAAGTCAATGATTAACCAATATGCTTAGGCTTGACAACTCACATTTCCCCAACACGCTTGCTGCCTCTGTATCAGAAGCAACAGGGGGGAGGAGGAGGCAGCAGGAGCCGGTGCTGGGGGCGGGAGGAGCCAGCTTAAAAGCACCAGCTCCATGGTGCCGCCTGCCCTCCTGTCCCCTCCCCTCCCTGGCCCTGAGGACAGAAGCTGCTCCGCCTCCCATTGAGCAGCCTCTGTCCATGGCAAACTGAGGCTGGCCTGGCAGCAGCCCCTGTTCATGGCGGGGCAGCAGGCAGCTAGTCTGTGGGGGAAGCTGGTTTTTAAACTGGCTCCCCTTGCGGACCGGATCCCACCTGCACTGCTGCCTCTGATACAGGGGCAGCAGCACTGAGTAGCAGGGGGCTCCCCAGAGTGGGGCCAGATTGCACTGACTGCTGTCCCTGCCCCCGGGGTCTACACAATAGTTGAGTAACTGCTAAGACTATTCAATTACCCAATATCTAACATCCCTATTCATAATGCAGGAACCAGGTGAGAAAGTGCTTCCAATTCCAACTATTTTAATTTACATAGACCTTTTGGGACTAAAATTTCTCACATTTATTCTTAGGCCGAAAGTAAAATGTTCTATGTGGATATATATTTAGTCCTGCCATGAGTGCAAGGGACTAGACAAGATAACGTAAATGTCCCTTCCAGTCCCATGATTCTAATGGAATTTCACTCCTAGCTATCCAGGTTATCTAAACAGGAAGCACATTTTCTCCTATTAAGAAAACTGTGTACTTTTTCTGCTCTCCCAACTCAAAGGCTGCTTTCTTTTAATTCCATCTTCCAGTCAATGAACAATATATAACAGTACCATATTTGAAAAAGAAATCCTAGCCAAGCCTTGTGGATGGGGAGAAAGCGGTATGTGACACATCTTTACTTTCTGACCTTCTCATAAACTAGGGAAATACAACCTAGATGCAGCTACTATAAAGGTGGGTGGAAAACTACTGCCAGAGGGTTCATACTGAGTGGGATTCCACAGGGGTTGGATCTGGATCCAGTTCTGTTCAGTATCTTAATCAATGACTTAGATAATGGAATAGGGAGTACACTAAACGTTTACAGACAATACCAAGATGGGAGGAGTGTTACAAGTGCTTTGGAGAATAGGATTAAAATTCAAAATCGTCTGTGCAAACTGTAGAATGGTCTGATGTAAATAGGATGAAATTCAGTAAGGACAAATGCAAAGTACTCCACTTGGGAAGGAACAATCAGTTGCACACATACAAAATAGGAAATAATTACCTAGTAAGGAAGGGGGGGAAGCAGTCACGTAGCACATTACAGACTAACAGGTTTATTAGGTGATGAACTTTCGTGGGGCAGACCCGCTTCTTCAAAGGGATACAATGAAAAAGTAAACAAATTACACAGTAACAAATCAGCTAATTTGTTTACTTCTTCATTGTACCCCTCTGTTATATAATAGTCATGCCAATTCACTTACAGAATATGATCTGAAGAAGGGGGTCTGCCCCACGAAAGCTCATCACCTAATAAACCATCTTGTGAGTCTTTAAAGTGCTACATGACTGCTTTTTTTGTTTTGCCATGATCGGACCAACACAGCTACCTCTCTGTTACCTAGGAAGGAGTACTGCAGAAAGGGATCTGGGGTTATAGCGGCTCACAAGCTAAATATGATTCAACGGCATGACACTGTTGTAAAAAACGCAAACATTTTGTATGTATTAGCAAGAGCATGTAAGCAAGATATGACAAGTAATTCTTGTGATCTACTTTTCACTGATTCGGCCTCAACTGGAGTATTGTGTCCAGTTCTGGGTGCCACATTTCAGGAAAGATGTGGACAAATTGGAGAGAGTCCAGAGAAGAGCAACAAAAAAGATGAAAGGTCTAGAAAACATGACCTATGAGGGGAGATTGAAAGGACTGGGTTTGTGAAGTCTGGAGGAGAGATGATAGAGGGGACATAAACAGTTATGTACTTGAAAAGGTTATTATAAGGAGGGAGAAAAATTGTTCTGAACTTCTGATAGGATATGAAGCAACGGGCTTAAATTGCAGCAAGGAAGAGTGAGGTTGGACATCAGGAAAAATATTCTAACTGTCAGGGTGGTTAAACGCTGGAATAAGTTGCCTAGGGAGGTTGTAGACTCTTCATCATTGAAGATCTTCTAAAAGCAGGTTAGACAGACACTTGTCAGGGATGGTCTGGAGGATACTATCTTGCATGGAGTACAGGGAACTAGACTAGAAGACCTCTTGAAGTTCCTTCCACTATGCTAATTCTATGAAATTATATTATTTCAATTTGTGTAGAATAGCAAAAGAATACTATGTTAACAAAAGTTGAATATTAAAATTTAAAACACTGCTAAACCAGTCTCAAATATTTACACTTTACAGCTCTCAGCTTTATGAAAACAGGAAAATTACCCTTTAGAGTAGAGATTAGATATTTATATTTAACTTCAACAACTGCTCTCGAAAACACCAATAAATGACTTTGAGGTTTAAATCTGCCTCTCCAGAGATCATAATAGCAGAAATGTTTTTATATCAGTGTTCTTCACCTTATCCCTAGTAAAAACCCTAACAATAAATGCTTAGACGATCTCAGATAAAAGGAGAGATTGCAAAGGACTGCAGAGGATTTTTTTAAACCAAGGGCTGGGGAAAAGCTGATAAGTGAGGAACAGAACACAGTTCAGGTAGGAAAAAAAAAAATCACGTAATGAATTTATTAAAGGGAGATCTCCATGGCCTAGTAAAGAGAAAAGGAAAAAATTTGGTAAAGTATGGACAGCAGCTAGAAAGGAAGAGTCAAATATAAGAGCCCCATTTAAATACAAAACCTACAAATGCTAATATACAACTGCTAGACATCTAAATACTAAGATGGGTGAACTAGATGGCTTGGCACTAAATGAGGATATTGATATAAGCAGCATCACAAAAACTTAGTGGAAAGACAGTTGATGGGACACAGTAATACCCAGATTCAAAATATATAGGAATGATGGCAGGTCATGGGGGAGTGGCACTATATGTGAAAGAAAACAGAGTCAAAGTAAAAATCTTACATGAACGTTATCACCCCGTAGAACCTCTAGGGCTAAAATTCCATGACTGAACTATAAGAGTATAGCTGAAAGAATATACTGAGGACCACCTGATCAGGAGTGTGATGGCGAATGCAAAATGGTCAGGGAAAGCCTACTAAGAGGCTATTGGTGCTGAAAACACAATGATAATGGGGAATTTCGTTACTCATATATTGACAAGGTACATGGCACATTAGGAATGGAGGAAGAGAAGAAATTCTAGATGCTATAATTTACTGCTTCTTGGAGTAGCTTGTCCTGGCACCCATAAGGGGAGAGGCAAGTCCTGATTTAGTCGTAAAGTGGAGACTAGGATCTGGACAACAGTCAAAAATAGCTGAATTGCTCAATAATACAGATCATGATGTAATTAAGTTTAACATCCTTGGAGATGGAAAAATGCCAAAGAAAACCACCACTGTAGAATAACTTCAAAAAGAGAATAATGAGGAAGTTAGTTAAACAGAAATTAAAAGGAACACTGACAAGGGTGAAATGCCAGCAAACTACAGGAAGACTAAATACATCACGTTAAAAGGCTCAACAAAATGTATGCCCCAAATTTAAAAAACAAAACTGTAACAAAAAACACCACCACGCCTAAGTAGCAAAATAAAAGAAGAAATAAGAGGAAAAAAAGTACTTTAAAATTGGAAGTCAAATCCTAGTGAGGAAAATAGAAAGGAACATAGACTGACAAGACAAGCGTAAGGTAGGCCACCGAAGAATATAGAGAGCACCTAGCTCAAGAAACAAAAAACTAACGAAAGTTAAGTACATCAGAAATAGGAAGCCTGTCAAACTGTCAGTAGGGCCACTGGATGATTTGAAATGCTAAAAGAGCACTCTAGGAAGACAAGGTGGTAGCGGGGAAGCCTAATGAACAATTCACTGAACAGAAGAGACTGGAATAAAATTGATCAATGTAATAGTAATAAGTAAGGCTAAGATTTTAGTCACAGGTATTTTTAGTTAAAAAAAAAAAGTAATGAACAGATCACAGGCAGTAAAAAATGCATGGCCTGTGATCTGTCCATGACTTTTTACTAAAACTAGAAGGTGTGAGAGCTCGTTTGGTGCCATAGGTGCTAGGTGGAGGCCTGGAGGGAGCCGCTGCTGGTACAGGTTGGAGGAGCTGGGGCAGGCTCCCTACCCAGCTCCTATCTCTACATGCTGCCTCCATTCCACCCCAAAACCCGGTTCTGCAGTTCCCACTGGTTGCAGTTCTGAGCTAATGGGAACTGTGGGGGCAATGCCTGCAGGTGGAGGCAGCATGTAGAAATAGGAGCTGAGCCCCCCAATTAAGCACTGCCCTGCTCCCAAACTCCTGCTGCTGTGCAGAGGTGGGGAAAACAAGACTGCTCCAGCAGTGGCCAGTGTGCCTGGCCTTGGGACTGCCCAAGCTGCTCAGGAATCGGTGACTTCTGTAATAAGTCACCAGATCTGGAGGATGTTCATCTAAGTTCTGAAGGAAGTCCAATATCAATCTGCAAAACTACTTACTGTGGTACCTAACCCACTGTTTAAATCAGCCTCTGTAATAGATGACTGGATGGTAGCTAAGGTGACAACAATTTTTTCAAAAGGTACACAGGGAAACCTGGCAATTACAAGCCAATAAGCCTAATTTCAACACCAGGCAAATGGCTTGAAAATACAGTAAAGAACAGAATTAACAGGTACACAGATGAACATAATATACTTTTGTCAATGCAAATCCACCTCACCAACCTATTAAAATTCCCTGAGGAAGTCAACAAGCATGTGGACATGGGTGATTCGGTTGGTACGTGTACTTGGACTTTGAGAAAGCCTTCAACAATCTCCATCACCAAATGCTCTTAAGCCAACTAAGCAATTATGGGATAAGAGGGAAGGTTCTCTCATTGATCAGTAAGTGGTTAAAAGATAGGAAACAATGGGTAGGTATAAACTGTCAGTTTTTCACAATAGCGTGAGGTAAATAGTGGGGTTCCTCAGCAGTGTTCCCTGTAAAATGTGTACTTGTGCAGCCACATAGGAGAGATTCTAATGCCGCCCAGCTGATTAGCAGAGTGCCCACAGCTAGGTTTTGTTTCTACTGGTGGTGCACATTCACACATGACTAGGTGCACTTACATTTTTCTGCGCATGAATGGAAAAGATTAGAGAGAACATTGTTCCCCAGGGATTGTACTGGGACCTATGCTGTGAAAAAGGAGGTGAATCATGGGATTGCAAAAGATACATCATTTCTACAGTTAAGTTCAAAGCTGACTGCAAAGAGTTACAAAGGGATTTTACAAAACTGAATACTTGGACAACAAAATTGCAGATTAAATTCTATGTTGTTAAGTGACAAATAATGCGCATTGTATATACAGTTGGGATTGTTTTTTTACAAAATGATGGGGTCTAAATTAGTTGTTTTCACTCAAAGATCTTGGAGTCATGGTGAATAGTTCTCTGAAAACATCCACTCAGCATGCAGTAGCAGTAAAAAACCAAAACCATAAACAACTAACAACATCAGGAAACATAAGACAGAAAATATATCATACAACTCCATGGTGTGCCCACACCTTGAATACCAGGAGCAGGTTTAGTCACCCCATCTCAAAAGATAGCAGAATTGTGAAAAGTACAGAGAGCACTCAAAGCGACTGGGGTATGACTATCTTCCATATATGAGGAATAGTAGTAGAGATGTAGCTGTGTTAGTCTGGTCTTGATGAAACAAAGACAGGATTATGCAGCACTTTAAAGGCTAACAAGATGGTTTATTAGGTGACAAACTTTCCTGGGGCAGACCCACTTGATCTGAGAAAGTGGGTCTGGCCCACAAAAGCTCATCACCTAATAAACCATCTTGTTAGCCTTTAAAGTGCTGCATAGTCCTGTCTTTTGTTCCATACACGAGGAGAGACTTTTCAGCTTAGAAAAGCAGCAAGGGGGAAATATGATAGAAGACGATAAAATTATGAATGGCATGGAAACAGTGAACAGGAAAATATTCTATTTACACCTCCACAGAACACACGAACTAGGGGTCATCTGAAGAAATTAACAGGTGGGTAGGTTTAAAACAAACAAAAGGAAGTACTTCTTCACACAACAGACAGTCCATGTACAGAACTCACTGCCAGAGTATACTATAAAGGCCAAAATCATAACTGGGTTAAAAAGAGAATTCGATAAATTCATGGGAGAATAGGTGCATCAGAGGCTATTAGCCAAGATGGTCAGCAACACAATTCCATGGTTCCTAGTGCCCCATAACCTCTATTAGAAACTGGACTAGATGACAAGATGCATCATTCAAAATTACTCTGCTCTGGTCACTCTGACTGAAACATCTGTCATTGGACACTGTTGGAAGACAAAATACTGGGCTAGAAAGACCATTGGTCTGACCAAGCATGGCTATTCTTATCTGACCTTGTTTATTTAGCCTAACATACAAAAGGATATCATACCTGCATCAGATTAAATCTTGCAACCTCGTTTATTGGAGCATCTGAAATTATTCCATACTGTTCTGGGTTGACAACTGCAGGACAAATGAAACATGCGAGCAGAAGATCCGTGCACATTGCTCGCACCTCCCCAATCTCCAGCCTGTCTACACAGGAGAGAGTTTTGTACATTTGTGATACAATCCATCTCAAGCTATGTGGAAAGCAGTATGTGTTCTGCTTAAGATAACCAATGAATTTGTTCACCAAAGCCACTAACTTAGCTTCATTGGAATCCACCATTTCTTGAACTTTGTGTTTAAACCTTTCTGTGCCTTTCTCCCCAAAGAGTTTTTCCTGTTGTGCAGGAGAGAATCTTTCAATCAGCTTGTTTGCATCAGTTTCTAGGTGGTCTTCATCTTCCACCAGCAGCTGCATGATTGGTTCATGCAATGTTGCAGTGAGAAAGAGTTTTGCAGAGAAGAGTCCTTCAGAAAAAAGTTTGAATAAAATGCTGAATGCACAGGTGCCTCTCCTCAAAAGCCGTCTGGGGTTGTCGCTTTCCTTCAGTTCAAATTCTATTAAGTATCGCAAAACTTGAAGGAGGTAGCTTTCATCTTCCTGCATGATGCAATTACCATAGATGGAGGTAAACACTGTGTGAATAACACTTTGTGTGTTGTCCTGGCTGAGTTTCTCTCCAGCAACCAGAGAGGAAGCAATAAGCCTAGGGTTCTCTCTCAACCTGTTGAGGAATTCTCCGTAAGCGGTCTCTTGAAATCCCAACTGCTTGTAGCCATCAATGAACTGTGTGTCCTCCAAGACTTTGGCATGCTGGCAGCACTCAGCAGGAGAAGCTTCAGCACTTCAGAGAAAAAACAACAACAGTGAAATCAATTAATTGTTTGTAATTGGGCTGTCAAATAATTAAAATTAATCATGATTAGCCACAAGATTTAAAAATAGTCCTGATTAACTGCAGTTTTAATCACCCTGTTAAACAGGATATAATGTATTTAAATATTTTGGATGTTCTCTACATTTTCAAATATATTGATTTAAAATTATAATGCAGAATACGAAGTGCCCACTGCTCACTTGTATTTATTATAAATACACGTGTGTGCTAGAACTGCACTATCTCTAAGCAGAGCTCTCAGAAGCTTGAATGATTTTTCCACTCAACACAGCACTCATCCCTGAGCTAGCAGCAGACATGCTCCCTTGTTCCTCCACCTCAGCTCAGGAGCAACTGGATACACACTTGGGAGTAGGAAGAAACCCCAACATTAGCCTCCCATACAGAGCAGGATGGCCAGGAGCAGCAGTGGAGCAGAGGTTCCGTTGCTTTACAGGCATGCAGCAACTACTCTCTGAGCACAGCGCCCCAGGAAGTGGTCCCTCTTGCCCACCCCTAACACCTGGCTCTTCCCCCACCCCCAACCCTGAAGTATTTAACCAGCTCTGCCAAATCACCCACAGTCTCTCCTTCCTGGTTACCTTCTGCTCACTACCACAGCCAGTGCTTCCCTTTCCATTGCTACTGCATCCCATCTCCAGAGGTGTAAGATTAACACTCATTTAAAACAACAACTAGGTGTTAATTTGTTCTGAGTTATTTGCATGCAGTAACTATAATTAATTGACAGTCCTATTTTTTAACAGACAAATAATTATTCTGAATCTAAAGAGGCTTGCAACTTCATAGATATCCACATCCGTGGATGAGATATCCGCAGCTCATTTTTGCAGATAGGGATGTGGATACAGATATTAATTTTGTATCAAGAATCCTGCAAATTTGCAGATATCTGTTTTATATCTGCATCCACAGATGTCAATGGAGATATCTGTGGCTCATTTTTGAGAATACAGATGCAGATTTGGATAAAAATTTTGTATCAGAACCTCTAGACAGAGTAAGAAATACATTGCAAGAATGTTTCCTTAAAAAACCCAAAAAACAAAAGAACACCCCCCACAAAATAGCAGTTACAATAAAGTGTAGATGTTAAGTTTCAAAAAAAGGAGCAAGCATTGATCAATGCATGAAATTCATTACAACTACTGAAATTCAAGTGCTTAAATACCAATCAGGAGAGATGCACCACACACAAAGATTAAAATAATAGTTTGAATTACCATTAGTCACATCATATTAAAGAGCAAATTTGAGACAACTCAGATTTCCTGTTCTGGAATGATTTAACTGATTTTACAGCCATTAAATCTGTCATTGGAATCACTGTTGCGCTCAATATGCAGTATGAAAAGAATCATAGATTTCTTTTAATTCGTAAGAGTTAAGGAGGTCAATTTCCCGCAAAGCATTTATCACCTTGTTATGATAAGTCTGTCCAAGTTAATCCTTTGCTGTTTGGAAATCCATGCTGTGCGGTAGAGTTTCTCGGCTGTCTTCAATACATCTGCATTTAATCTCTGAATAAGTTGCTTTTCTGAATTTACATAGAGTCGTTCCTGCTTGAGGTGATGAGCCAGAGTATGAATATCCAGCTTCACCATCTTTAAGGGTGAGAGGACTACACAATAATCACTGCAAAAGGAAAAATATATGAAAAATCATTTCTCTATAGCTTCTATTTTTTAAAATTCCAGCAGGCAAAAAGAATTTGAATACTGAAAAGTTATCAAAAACTTTATGATAAAATTTAAGAACTATGATTTACTATAACTATAGTACCTATCTTTGATCCCTATTTGGTCCTCATTAATGTAGTAATATTTAGAGGCCAGGTCTCCCAAACCCCAGGATACAGCCCTCATCGTGCCAGCCTTCCTTGCTGTAAAACACTTCAAATGGATGTGATCTTCCAAACTTCTTGCATACCCCTGAAAACCTCAGTAACAACATATTGCCCAGTTCCACATAAATTAGAACTGCCTTCAGTTCTGCTAACTTGAACATCACTCTATTTTCATTAATAATAGTGACATTCTCCCCCAAAGGGGCATGCTAAGGAGTGGGGAAACACCCTTCTAATTTCTAATGATGAAGGTTAGCATAATTACCCTCAGACACAGGGAGGTAAAAGGGGAAAAGGAGTCCCATTCTGACATATTATGTAGTCAAGTCAGTGCTCAATGAGCAAAGCAATACATGTGAATAAGATGTTTGAGAACACATGCTAAGTTATGTTGCAATTTAAAATAAGTGTTTGGGTCTAGTAGCCCTTTGACCAACAAAAATTCATGCTCTTATGTGAAATAAAGAGATTCAGTCTTCCCACACTATTCAATTTGCTTTTTCCGCTCAAGAGGCTCATAACTAGCACCACCCATGCATAAGCTAAATGCTGGAAACAAGCACAGAATGCACTGCTACTCAATAGTAGAATTCAGTCTACAATATCTCCTCTAACATCCCAACTCACAGGAATGCACTTGTGGGCCATGATCCAGAAATTCTCTAAATGACAAAACAAACTGAAGAAACCTCAAGTGGAAAGGAAATCTGCACAGTCCATTATATTACATCTCAGTACAACAGCAGCTACCTTATACTAACCACACATCCTATTTGCTTCTTAATGACTAAAACAAAAAAAGTATCACAGTATTTAAAAGAGTTCATTATGGTAGAAATGTAATGAAAGCTGGTGTTTCCCAAGTAAGTATACATAATCAGATGCAACTTGTCTAGTTGAGGAGTTAAAAGTGTGATCTTAGCAAATACTGGCTAACAGGAGTAAACTACCCAATTTAAACATCTAAATAGATAAGGCATATTGTCGTTGACACCTGATAAACACAGTCAAGTTATTCAAAAGAAATTAATTCCTTTTTCCCCTCTATTTAAATTATGATGGAATCATTTGTGAAAAACATTAACAAGGGCAATACGATTTGTGTAAGCACAATTACATAGAAGAAAACTGAGTAGCCATTAACTTCATCTGATTTCACACAAAGAAAACTATCTTAGCTGACCACTCATTACTTCGCCACCAGAAGTAACCTTTCTTGAGTGCTCGTTCCGAAGGATGAATTCTGGCCAACTCCACTATGCTGCTTATGATACATACATGTGAGCACTCAACTACTATTGGGATGGGGACTTAAATACAATAATAAATGGAATGCTTGTCTATTTCCCATCAACTCTAGCACCTTCACTGAAGCCTGACCTCACAATGCTACTTTCTCCCATACTCAAGGTAGAGATGTTAAATTTAGACTAATTATGTAGTCGATGAGAAGAGGATGACTAGTTGCTTACATCCCTAACTCAGGGAACTAGAGTATGGTTTATGATTTACAGGCATACCACTTTCTTTATACTCTTTTAAAGATCATTCTGGACACACCAAGCACTGAGTCATTGTATCCTTTCTAAATAACATTTATTAGCTTCCCTAACTGGACAGAGAATTTTTAAAGAAGTCCTGATGGTTTGAGAGCATGAGTTACAAAAAACTCCTTAAACAACTTCCTTCACCTATGGTTCAACTTGACAAGCAAAACCCTATAACTCAAAACAGGGATGGAGAACCTCAGGCTAGATGCAGATCCCCGCTTGCTTATATCTAGCTTCTGAGGCTCGGGGCTCTCTCCCCCCAGCATTGGGGAGTCTGTGCTGGTGCTGGAGCTGGAGCACACAAAATCTACTATCCTGGGCCTT